CTTTCAGCCTCGTCTAGAAATACAGTTCTCCGCACACGCCCTCAGACAAGCAGTTCTACGAGGATCAATTTGAGCAACAACGAGATAGTTTGTTGACCTTGACTAAAATCCAAACGCCACGGCTATTTCCGGCACATAACCGTAGCGACTGTCCAAGTTAACCTGGCTTCTGACTACCCTACGCGTTTACATGTGATTAATTGTGGAACAGCCTTCAGCGAAGGTTAGCTGCAACATGCCCACAGTCTCGGACCAGCAACAGCAGTACTTTCTAATTGCGGAGGGCCAAACTGTCCTATCAAGCTCAATGGCTGACTGTTTAGATTCCGGGAGAATAACTTGCTATCGGAAGCACCCTCGAGCAGATAATCCCGAGCATTTGTGAGACCAGTTTGCCGACTAGAGCAGGTATGATCAGTCATATAAAATACTTGTACTCTTTGCGGCCGTGATCATGCAGGATCCAACCAGTCTCGACGTTGTCACGTAATCGTACCTCTTCACACCTGGCAATTTGCGGTAGCGAATCTGGACAGCTCAACCCGTTCTCTTCTCCAGCAGCGGAGACCGAATACCGAACGTTCACGAATCACTTCCATGTCCTGAACACCCTCCACGCAGGTCTTGAGTTGATCTCTTCGATGCCTCCAGGTGGCAACAACAGCGAATCAAATAATGTACGCTAAATACTTAATACAGCTGATAGCAAATATTTTTTACGAGGACCTGCTTTGCCGTTAACCCTTGGCGGAATATGCTAAGGCAGGTGACTGAGGAGTAACCATATAGAATGCTCAAAAATTCGCTTTACGTGTGCGGAGTATTGTTGGTAGATCCTTAGATGGTAAAAACGTATGGATATGGTCGCGAAATTAGTCTACATTTAATATAATTTCAGCTCAATCTACAGGAGATTATGTCTTCTCCTATATAAAAGCTTGGGAAAGAATTTCCTCAACGTTTGCGATTTTAGCTGGGAACATTCATAAAGCGCTCTCAAGATAAGTCACGTAGCCGTTATGGAAGTTTTTTTAATGTGGTGTACAGGGTATACAAAGTGAATCGTGTATTGAAATATTTAGTGAACACCAGGACACGTCTTCATGGGTGGTAGGCTGTAGCTTAGGAACTTTGTTAATTACGCTTCATAGTGTTATCTCTATTATTATGCTCTTAAAATCGGAGTGTTGTCTATGTTCGGGGAAATCCTCCGAACAAGACCTAATCTACCGCAAAATGCTTGCAAGAAATAAGCCTTATACATATTTGTGAAACAATAGAGTACATTTATACATTTTTTAACTCCTGCATGTATCCAAACGGCCCCCTCGGTTGCCGGATAGAGGCTTAGTCTATTAACTCATACTGTGGCATTTTGAGAACGTGGCTGATGTTCTTGATGAAGTCCGCTGCCGTCCTCACCACGGCCTTATTGCTCCAAGGGCTTTTGAGGATTAGGAAACAGGAGCGTACGCTCTTAATTTTTAGGATGTTGCGGTCAAGGATGAGTGATCTCCTGTAATCGCAAACACTAACATTGTTCCATCTAGTGTCAATCAGCTGCTGGAAGCGATTTTTTTTCGGTACACAAGGCAGGTTGCTGTGGCTGTTGCTTGTGTATAAAATATGTGTCCGTACGGGGGCGTGCGAGTAGCTGTGTGCTGTTTACACGCTTGGGTCTGTTTGCGTGGGAGTGATTGTCTGGTTGTGGGACGCGTGATTGGTTGCGTCAAGGGCAGAGTCTGGGGCGCCTGCTGACTAGGTCACCTGGGTGCCAAATAGGCCGGCTGACGCCGGTGAAGGGGGGGCACTGGAGCGGCTGCTATAAGGGTGGACCGCATTTTCTTTACTAAAGAACCTCCAAACAGCATTTATTACCACAAGCGGAAATGCAAATTTGCTTATTTTTGATCTAGCTAGCGACTCCGCACCTGGTTAGTGGCTGACAGATTTACCTAGGATCTAGTGAATTCTCGGATTGTGAACTGAAGAGTGCAGCACATGTGGTCTGGATTTTATTATTGCCCATTAACCTGCTGCACATTAAGGTAAATTAGTTCGTGATCAATGTGCTGTCATCTGCCCAATCGAGTGTAGCATTATTTTCTACATTCACGCGCACGTCGAGTAGACTATAAATATGTGACACAAATACAGGAACATATGATTGTCGAGAAACGTGGAGAGAATTTATAGCAAATCGCCTGCTACCATCCACCCCGTCTTCCACCTCACACGCACATGTAACAGGGTCGCAGAACTTTGCCATGTTCTACTCCCTACAAGCAGACATTAAACCAGTAATAAATGAACGCAAGCGAGCAATATCGTGTCGTTTCTCGAGTACAATGTCGCGAACATGGTCGTCATTATACAGGCTAGACCGGATAATGACCTAACTCGCGAATAATAGGGCACCAGTAGGCAGCGTGGAGAAGCGACCCATTGTCTCAGACCTCTGGAGGAAGGCCACACGTTCAACTTCGCAAACACGCGGATAATGGCGTGAGCTAGCAATAAGCCCAGACGGGAACTGCCGGAGGCCTGAGTGTCTGACTCCATTAACAGACCCGTCGACATGCTTCCCTGTTACCACGTGCCTCCTCCGCGCGACCAACAGGCAAACGCTATCACTACGCTGCGAGATAGCCTTATCACTAATGGTGTTCCACCCCACCCCACCTGCCTCCTTATTGGCCTACAAAAACCGCTCACGGCCTCTGATTACGGCCTCCGTGTGATACACGTGCTGTCTCCGTGATCGTGCAGTCGTCTTCTTTGCCAATAGAATCTGCAACTCACGTTTTCCCTTCTATTCTTGACCTCAACCATCTAAATGGAAATTTTGTAAATAAATCCGTTCGGGCTATCTCTCCCCAGTTACTGTCCGTTCCAACCTCTCGTACTTCAGCCTCCGCAATGAAGGCTGACTGCTCAGATGCATCAATTCAGTTGATAGCGATTCACCATCCAAATAAGTTTTGCCTCGCATTTGACTCGGTGCTTGTGAGTATCATTTGCAAACTGTTGTTGGATAATGTTTCCATTGCTTTTCTTTCAGCCTGCCCTTCTGTACCTCGTTCCTACTTGCCTGGGCTTCCCTCTCACGCTGGCTCTCATAAAGGGTGATTTGGGCGCAATGTTCAAGTGAGTCTCTTTTGCAGTTATCCCCTCTGTGGACCGCTCATTTTGTGATTTTTCGCATCTAGCAGTACTCGCCTAAATCAAGCCCCTCTAGTGACAAAAGCAATTAGGGTGACTTCAGAATCACTGATGTAAAACCTGTTAACAAAGCCGAGATGCCACCATCTAATTACGCCTTGTTTGAATCCCCAAAGAAGAACGCAACAACAAGGGTGCAAAAGTGGAAGTTTATTAGCGTATTCGGTACACCATATTTAAGGCAAGCAGCGCATGTACAGGCAGGTACAATCGGACCAGTGGGATTGTGTCCTTGACGGGCAATATGCCGAGTGGCTTTCCAGCTCATCAGAGTGGTAGGGCAGAGCATTAATTCTGATTAGCGGCTTGTGCGATCTCATCACGCGCGCAGCTTGTGTCGATCGGAGTCTGGTGTTAAAACAAAGCCAAGTAGGCCGGAGGCGGAGTTGGTGGCTGGTGAATAGAGTGGCGTGAGATTGCGCCTGGGCGTGCCACTACACCCGCATGCGTGGCACCACCAACAGTGGTGGTGGTCCAGTGCATTTAACATTCAGGCCGTTTCGAGGACACATAGTGATGTACTGCTAATGTTACTTCTTCAAGCTTGCCGTTACTGAAAAAGCATCGAAGTACTTGTAGATCGTGATAATAATGACGTTGTCTTCTATGCCTGCGTTTCCTCCTAGACGTTGTTCTCACCTTAGGTCCAGACAGTCTTTGGTTAGGAAAACGCCTCCGTTACCTTGAGTCGGAGTTTCTTCCAAGGAAGTTAGGAAACGACCAAATCGATCACTAGATTCGCCTAGTTAGCACGAATCGTCGGATTCTATCAACGATTCCGGAGTCGGCATGGCATCAGTCAATAGTAGCGAATATTCGAGTCCCAGGAAGCAGTTCAGAAGAAGATGCGAT